TTCCTGCATGGATTATTGTAACTCTCTCCTAATTGGTCTTTCCAAAAGCTGTATTGCCCCACTACAGTCTGTAATGAATGCTGCCGCCAGACTGATTTTCCTCTCCAGCCTTACCCTCTGTCTGTCCTTACATTGGCTTCCTGTATCCTATACGAGTCAATTCAAAGTGCTATCCCATACCTATAAAGCACTGAACAATTCTAGCCCCTCTTATATCTCTTCACAGATCCATAGGTATGCCCCTTCTCAGTCTCTCCGCTTTGCCAGTGACCTTCTCCTGTTCGTTGCTCTCACCTGTACGGCCAACTCACGCTTGAAGGACTTCTCAAGGGCAGCTCCCTTCCTATGGGATAGTCTGCCCACCGCAATCAGACTCTCCTCTAGTCTTCAATCATTTAAGAAGTGCCTTAAAACCTATCTGTTTAGGAAAGCTTATGGTCTCCCAGAGTACCCTTTACGGTACATACCTGTCTCCTGTTCTCTCCTAAAAGGTAGCACTCTACTTTCTCCTCCAGCTCTGCTTCACTCCCACTTTATTTGATTGATATTTCCTGTCCTATTGTGTTTTATACCCCAACTCCTATAGACTGTAAGCTCGTTTGAGCAGGGTCCTCTTCAACATATCGTTCCTGTAAGTTTTCTTGTGATTGTTCTATTTATCGTTAAATCCCCCCTCTCATAATATTGCAAAGTGCTACGGAATCTGTTGGCGCTATATAAACGGCAATAATAATAATAATAATAGTCATACCATGCATACCATCAGTTGAAGTACTGTTAGGGTAAAAGCAGTCAGCTGACAATCTCAGTCAATCACAGTGGCTCATTGCAGGTTAGGCTAAAACATCCTCATTAGCGCAAGCACAGAGGGGATGGGCTACTGGAGACTCTCTTCAACATTAAAACATAAAATATCTAAACAGTGTTTAATGCTGAACTAAGCCATAACTCCAGACATTATAACCAGTCTAATGAGATGAAGCAGATACAGTGCCTATAGTGTCCCTTTAATAAAAAAAGAATAACATAGATGCATCACAGTTACAACAGTTATGTTTATACAGCATTCTATAAAACAAACACATTCATTATCTTAATTAAATTATATTTGGATGAAAAAGAATGTTTGTTTATAGAGTTAAATCCATCAGGAATACTGATATGTTTGAGAAAATAAAACTCCCATAAATATAATTAAGAGTCTCTTGGAAGCTCTTCTGTTATAGCTCGGAGATCTCTTTAGGTTCTTTATATTCTGAGCTATAGATATATAACAGGCAGATTGTTATCGACTTGTACAAGTCTTCTACTCCGTCTCTGCTGTGACAATGTCATTTAATTAACTGGAAGAAATAAAAAATAGAAAATATAAATTTGTTTAAGAAATTTCACCAATGAGGAAACGTGTGGACAACTTCAAAATACATGGTAATATTTCTTAATCTATGAACCATGAAACATAGTCATTTTGCTTAGAATGCTGAGGAATACCTTGTTTTTGTCAAACCACTCATATCATCTGTACCCAAACGGTTCCTTGCACCACAACCATTAACTTAAATTGAAGGAAAAAAAACATAACTGTAATAATACAAGTAGAAATTAATAAAATGTAATGATACAATACACTGAAATTATAAAATGTAGTTTTAATAACACAGTAATATATAATAATACAATCAGGTGTAATGATAACATTAGTTTTAATAATACAGTAAGATAAAATAATACAATAAGCTGTAATAAAATAGTAAGTTGTAGTGATACAATAAGCTGCAATAATACAAAAAAGCTGCAATCATATATGAAGCTGTAATACTATAACCGTACTTGTACAATAATTAAAAAAACAAGAAAATCAAACATAGAAATATTGATGAAGTTCAAAAGGTCCACTATTACACAAAGCACAATATTGCAATAATATCCCCATAATAATGAAATCCACAGTGTATCGATAAAATTCCCACTCACATTTTCAGGAGCCTCTGCAATGGCTCTCTAAAATAAACCTTATAGAGAGAACTGTCACTTTACTATTGGTAACAGTATTTGTTTGTTCCTCACTGGAAGTGCATTCTCAATCTCAACCACAAACTAGAACACACAGATAGAGAATAAAACAGTTTAACATAACTTTTTATTATACGCCACAAATTAGCTTATATTAAAGGAAAAAAGTCACTTTTCTGAATTTATACTGTTAAATAAAAGATTGAAAATTCACTATAACTTCAGTTAACCTATTAGAAAATGTCATATTAATCCAGTTCAGACAAACATTGCAACATTTTTACTATTTTTACCATTGCAGGCATGAATAGGTACTGGTTTATTTATTTATGAAAGAGATAATAGTTGGTAAATTAAAGTGAATTCAAAGCAAATTACAAATTTAAAGTAAAAATTATTGAACTGGAATACCCCAAGTCAGCTATACTTATAATTTACCTATTTTAGGCTTAAATTTGAAATTTACTTTGAATGGCTGGCAATTCTTAGTTTAATGAATGACACGGATAAAATTGTCTCTGATTTCCTATAATTAATGAGATGATCGAACAATACAAACATACAACTGCTAAGATACAGTTTATAAAATATAGAAATCAAGCAATAACCACTGCAGCTTTTATAGAAAGGGTTTGATTGGAAATATAGAAATCGTTTCAGAGATTTTAAAGGGGCACGAACGCTCCTCTGAAAGCAACAGGTTATCATTCCCGAGAAAGGTTGCCTAAGAGGGTGAAAGAGTGAAGGGTGACCTGCCTTTCCTCTAACACTCCCTCTAGGTATACCCACAGTAGTGAAAATAACTCATAGGGTATGAATAGAGTAAAAATTTAAATTTTATTTACAAAATCTCATTAAGGACAAAAATTGATGAAATAAGTGAAACACACAGTGTTGGTGAATTTAAAAAGGAAAGTCTCTTGTACATGTATATGTAACTAACTAAGTGGTTACTAATAAATTGATTTATACAATAAAATATGGTAATCTCTTGTATATAGAAGTGTAACTAACTGTAAGTTGTTACTAATGAATTGACTTCTACAATAGACACAATAGTCAAGAATATATTTAAGATATAAAGGCCAAAAGCTAGTAACTTTCAATAAGTTGCACTTAGTCTGATAGGAGCTCAAATCGATAAAGCCTCTATACATCCACTAGTAATAGATAGATGGCACTATGTTCAAATACTCTCTGCCTTCCCTGTTAATATGGAACTATATTCAGGTAATCTCTCTCTAATAGTGCTATTATCAATACTAGTATATGTTTAGCTTACATCAAATAAATGCAAAGACGCCTCATAGTGGTAAGAGGCAGGTTCATTAGGGTGACTGTAGCTAACATCCGTGTAGAAACGTGATACAGTTATATTTAAGACCAAAGTCACTGGACTGAGAGCATAGCCAACTTACAAACATTTTCCAGTTAAGATATTTTTGAATTCCCCTTAAATTGTCACTTCGGTGAATAACCCGGAGAATGTAATGTTGGAAATTGTTTGATGTCCTGGAGATTGTGATAGGAGATTTGAACTGGGTAAACAAATGGAACGTAAATGTTAAATGAAATATTCAGGATCTGCTGAGCAATCGCAGGAAACAAAATCTATGAATGTGGAATTATTTAATACAAAAGTCAATGATTTTACTAAATTAAAAATAATTGCAGATCATTTACCAAAACATAAAACATGGATTTGGGGTCTATTGAATTTGCCAGTGAGGGGTTTATTTAATAATTATCTCCTCATACACTTTAAAGAATAATAGTGTCATCATTCTGTTTCCTGGTGACACCTCTGGCCAAAAAGATCTATTGTTCTAATTCCATAGTTACAGAGGCTTAAAAGAGACATGCAGTCATCAAGTTCAGCCTTTCTCCCATTTGTTTCTGCTGTTTATCCACAAGGCTGCAAAAAGAACCATTTGAAGTGCTTTCCAATTTTGCAACAAACTAATTCCTTCTCATCCCCTGAATGGCCATCCACAGATGTCTCTTTGCATCAAGAAGCTGTTACCCAACATCCTAAAATGATATCCCTGAATATTAGGTTTTTTAACTTATTCAGTTGCTGTTTAAACATCTGTATATACTCAGATAATACCACCACTTAAGGCAGAGAATTTCACATCCTTATTGTTCTTATTGTGAAGAAATTATTTCCTTTCCCTAAGACTAAATCTCTTTTCTTCCAATCTAAAGTAGTGACCTCATTTTATTTGTATAAGGCTGTTTATTAATAGATTTCCAAACATCAATTGTTTGTACAGGTCCTAAATATACTATATTTGTTGCCCAACTGTGTTTCTAGTGCCTTAAAATTTTTCTTTTGGACAATTACCCAAACTTGCACAGTATATTCAAAGTGTGGTCCTACAATTGATTCATAAAGTTTTAAAAAATCATATTTTCATCCTGAGAATGAAAGCCTGTTTTTATGTATGACATTACCTTACTGGCCTTGGCCACTGCTAATTGACATTGCACATTATTGCCTAGTTTGTTGTCTATAACAATTCCCAAATCCTTTTAATCTGTTATTATCTCTAATTTATTACAATTAGTTGTAATGAGAAATTATTGCCTTAAATTTAATATTTTTAAATTAGCTTTTCAAAAGATTTCATATTTTGGATAACATTTTAAAATGATTTTTCCAAATATTAAAATATATAAAAAAAAAACCCCATATAGAAATATAAAATAAAAAAAATCAATATATAAAAAAAATTTAAAAATTTAAATGAAACTTTTTCAGTCATTTGAAAAGTTAATCCAAAATATTCAATCATGGCCTATGGGTATTATATCGACCTTTGCTTTACAATGTAAGTAGGACATCATGTGCATGTTCATGTTCGATATATGGAATTTCTCTCTAAATGTATTCATACTACTTGAGTTTAGTGATTTTCTTTTTTTTTTTATTTAAATGTAGGAAAATTTTAAGAACAAGTCAAAAGTGGAGGAGTTCTGGATAGTCGGATTTGAGAATATTCACAATTTCAAGATTTTACTCTTTCTTCTGTTCCTGGTCATTTATTTTATGACATTATCTGCAAATTTAATGGTGATCTCGATGGTATCCATGTTTAGATACATTGACTCTCCCATGTACTTCTTCCTCGGCCATCTGTCTTTCAATGACATGATTATCGCCACAAACATTGTTCCTGAAATGCTTTATATTATATTAAAAGAAGGAAGTACCATATCCTTTGCTGGCTGCTTCACTCAAATTTACTTCTTTTCCCAATCAGTCGTTACTGAGTGCCTGCTTCTCACTGTAATGTCCTACGATCGATATTTGGCCATCTGTAACCCACTGAGATATTCCTCTGTCATGGACTTGAAGCTTTGTGGTTCTCTGGTAGCTTTATCTTGGGGATTTGGACTACTAGTTGCATTACCACATATTATAATTTTAAGCCAAATGACATTTTGTGGGTTAAAAGTTGTTCACCATTTTTTCTGTGATATGATACCAGTTCTTAAATTGTCTTGCACAGGTTCATTAGTTAATGAAATATTAACCATGGTATTGTCTGTTCCAGTCATATTTGTCCCAATAATTTTTATCAAGGTGACATATATCAACATCTTTCTTGTGATTATACGGATCTCTACCACCACCGGAAAACAGAAAGCCTTCTCTACCTGCAGCTCCCACCTGACCGTTGTATGTCTATATTACGGGACATTAGTATTTAATTATTTGTTTCCATCTAAAGGTGAATATTTGGGTACCCAAAAACTGATTTCTGTGCTTTATTCTATCGCGACCCCTTTATTAAACCCCATTATATACAGTCTGAGAAATGAGCAATTTAAAGGAGTAATAATTCAATTCATTTTTAATAAAAAGATTTTGAAAAATAATCTGTTTTGACTGCAAATAACATAATGTATTTAAGCATTTCAATTACAAGGTTACATTACTGTCCCCAGCTGTCATTTTACTGTACATATAGATTATTTATTACTTATATGTACGATGGTGAAATCAATAAATTCCTACTAGTGGCCTATTTCTTGAGCTGCTACTTAAAATCAGTTCATGTCATGTCTAATTTTCAATTCAAATAAATGTTCAAAATACTCATTATTTAATTATAATCTCTTATATAGTTTCTGAAAATGTTCCCCAATCTTTACTCTTTGGCCCCCAAATCATAGGTTTGCCAATTAACTCCTTAAGGACGTCGGGCCTGCTATGCCTTCATTGGGGACCCGGCTCTAAACGCCGAGGGAGGGTGGGGCGGCATAGCACATTCCCGCCATTCTATGTACTTACCTGGGAGCCCAGGGAGTCCCCCTCCTTCCACTTCAGCCCCCATGAGATATGTTATTACGAGGTCCTTGCAAGGTACTTGCGAGGACCTCGCGATCACATGGACGGCATAGCCAGCAGGGGGAGTGCCTGTAATGACAGGTACTCCCCTTGCTGCCTGAAAAAATAAAAATAAATTGTTTAAAACAGTGTAAAATTAAATTATATATACTTAGATCATATATATGTTTATTATATTATATATATAAATGATCTAAGTATATATATGCACATATACACAAATACACATAAATATACATACACTGTCTAAGTGTATTTTAATATTAATATATATATAATTTATATATATTTGTGTTCGGGGCATTCTCATATGATATAGAATAAGATGGGTTGTAGAGATGTAGCTTTAGGAATAATCAGTTGATGTGTGCTGAAACTGATGTATGCTGTAGGCCGGTAAAAAGTCGGCTTACATGGAGGAAATTTGAACAATGGGAGTGGAGGGTGGGGCTATTCGTCTGACCAACAAAGGTAAGTAGGGAAAGGGGGGGAGTCCCTTTTATAGGTCTATAACCGCTCCCACATCTTCAGGCCATGCCTTCCAATTTGTGTTCGGGGCATTCTCATGATATAGAATAAGAGGGGTTGTAGAGATGTAGCTTTAGGAATAATCAGTTGAGGTGTGCCGAAACTGATATATGCTGTAGGCCGGTAAAAAGTGTGCAAAAAGAGACATATTAATACAAAACATTTTACAGGATCATAGTGCGTTTGTTAACCATCAGGTATACATTTTAATGAAAGCTTCCTAATTCCTGAATTGGCTGTGGTATGTAAGTCGCATAAGCCTATGATTCCCAGCGGCCCCGTGTCTTAACGTGTGCGGGGATGTCTTGGCTATAGGCCGTGGAGGCTGCTCCTATCCTAAAGGAGTGCCCTGAGTAGTCGCTAGGGTTTAGTTCGAGCCCGGTGAATGAGTAGGTGGACATAGTGCATGAACTTACCTGTGATAAGGACAGTATCATACAGTGACAGTAATGGTTCAGTGGTGCGTATGGTGGCGTGCCCAAGAACGCAACCAGTACCTTAACCGGGCACCCAGCATTGCTTGTAAGATAGTAGGTTATATGCACTGGCTCGCCCATCTCACTCATCTTAGTTTTAGGAAGGGACATAGTAGTGGTCTGTGTGTTTTAGAAGAAAAGAGGTCCACAGGCACTGTTGTTTATGATGTTGGCCACTGAGAGTGAGTTATTTGTTGGCCTATGAAAGTCGTTAAAGGCTAGATAGGTAGCAGTTTTGATAACTGCATTGGTGCATGGTCGAATAGTTCTGACATGGTTTGAACATTGTATGTCTATGGCCAGTATTTAGTTTTAGCGGGAACGTCCGCTTGGCTATGTCTCTAAGTAAGGTATGGATGGGGTAGGATGATAGGAACCCTTGTTGTTTTGGAAGGAGAAATACATATAGTGTTGAATGCCTGTGAGATAAGTTTAACTGTGTTGTGCGAGAATTTTTAACGTAAGGTGGCAAAAAGAGGCGAAGGCCATAAGTGGTGAAACCTCAAACCAGCTAAGTGATGGTCCGACATGAAACGTATTGCGTAAGTGGGAAAACCCTGTAGCAAGCGTGTTGAGTTCTGGTGGACAAGGCCAGTTTTGTCAGAGCCTGGCTATGTTGGCAAGGTTCATGTAATCCATGACCTTGACCATAAATGTCACGGCATCTGCCACAATAGTTTACCATTACGTGTGGTTAAGAAAGTCCACCATATGTGTAGGTCTGCCATGGCTTGGTTGTCTAGGGACATCCCCTGATCATCATGCGGGAGTGTGGAAAAAGCAAAGTGGTCTTAGATGAAAGCACGGCCTGCGGTATGATGCGCATGGCAAAATTTAAGGAACCTGGTAGGGATTGTAGTTCCATGCGGTTGCAAGTACCAAGCAGGAAGTGGTAATTTGGTGTTATTGCGACCTATTTCTCATGTGGTAACTTGTTGGCATGGATGCCGAGTCAAGTTGTGTGCCCAGGAATGTAACGATAGTGTCTGGGTCTTCTGTGACCTTAGGGAATACTGGGACACCCAAGTGTTCAGACATACTAATGGCTTCCTTGAAGCTTCTAGAGGCAAAGGCGTTCCCTTTGACCAACAAGAAATCATCTCGTGAGTGTATGACTGTGGGGCACCTGGATATGTTTAACCACAACCAGCAAAGAGTTCAACAAATATATTGAAGATTGCGGGCTGCTCTTGACCCGAAAGTTAAGCGGGAGAAGAAATATATAACGGCTGCCCATAAATGCCCTGTAAGTGCCAGTATAGGGTGGATGGTGGAAGTCTGAAATGCGTTTGTGATATCAGTTTTACTTAACCAGGCTTCCCCCCGCTTGAGTGATAGCTGTAATGGTATGAACAATGGTGGCATACCGTAATGAAAAGTCCTCGGAGGGTATGAGGGAGTTGAGACTTGGAGTAGCCGAGGCGTGAGGTGCAGATAAGTCTATGATCAGTTACAGTGCGAGGGAAGATTCCCTGTGACAATCCCAATGGGATTTTGCCACACTGTAAATGTTGTAGATCAGAGAGGCCCAGGTAGAAATCTTTCTGCCATTCTTGGGCCATGAGTGTAATGCCAGCTGTTGGATGCTGCTGTGATGACTGCAAGTTAGGGCATTCTAGATTCCCCCAAAAGTATACCGCAATACCTGTAAGGAAGGCCTTTAAAATTCGGAGATTAGGAAATCAACTAAATGTCTGGAAGGGTGATGAGTTAGAAAGTACTGGAAATTCATAATGTTTACAGATGTGAAGTAAGGTTCAGGGTACATTTATTGGGACACATGGTTTGCAACAGTCTGCATGCACAGAAACTACATGTGCCAACATGGAAATTGTGGCAAATCTGGGATTTGCCAAAGAGAATGAGATGATCCAATTTGTCTTTGGTAGTTCTCTACGTACTACCAGAGGTGCTAGAGCCTGGAGCTTGAAGTGTGATCGTCCGCTGTGTTGGGACAAAATTGTTGTGTGGGACTAGCAACATCTTCTCCAACTGAAACTGTGTTGACTCTAGCTGGCATGTTAGGTAGAGAGAAATCCTTACCACCTGCTTGATACATACTAAACATATGAAGATAGACATTATTATATGAACCCACAGTGTGTTATTACTGGCTTGCTAGCTAAAGCCACATGGTAAAATAATTAAGCATTTGTTTGGTGACAGGTAAGGCCCTGCTAGTTGCCTAGTGGCTTGAGAGGCTCTATCTATGCAATGGTGCGAGGGGATTTTTGTGGCCACCAAACATAGTGGCAGGATGTTGGCCTCTCAGTGACTGTAGCCAGAAAAAAGGGGAAAGTAGTGACAGGTGAGGCCCTCTCTATATACCATGCGAGGCGGTTAGCTCACAAGTGGCCCGATGGGTGTTTGCCTCCGAGCGTTGAGGCGGGGTGTTGGCCTTGTGGGACCACTATATGACAGGCGTAGATGCCAAGAATGGAGAATACCTATTGGAAACCTATAGACCCTAATTGCCAGTACGCTAAGGATATACCCAGGGGGAAACAGAAAATGTATGTATATACCACATGAGCAGGTGTATGTACCTGGTAGTATGATTAGATACCCTTACTGGTCGTAAGGGTTATTGATACCTGTGTCTCTAATAAAAGTCCTATACACCATGCTTTCTCTCTCTCAGAACTTTTTGGTTCATCTGAGACCCGATCGGTATGTTAATAAAGGCTTCTTACTTCCTGAAGACCTGTGTCCATATCTCTATGTGTGGCTTCTTTGGTTTGTTCCTGTTATTTCCCCGGTAACAAAAGGACTTATATTTTAAGCATGCAAACATGCAAATATTCTGTATTAGACTCTGGAATCCTGCATAGTGCTTTAAATAGTATATGCATTCTTGGGTAAATGTATGCGTATTGTCAGCAAATGTAACTAAATGCCCATGTTAGCAGGTATGCAGGAATGATTATATCATAGCAAGCAGGAGTTGTAAGGAAGTGTTATTGTGTAATCATAATTTAATGGGAATGGTATAAGGGGAATAACCATATGTCTGAAAAGCCTGTAGTATACCGTTTGACAGATAGGAGTCAGTATAAAAGCGAAAATGCTGTAGTTAGTTTGTTTGCTTATGAAGTGAAATAAAGTCTGAGAAGCCTGTAGTATACAAATTGACCGGTGGGGGGCAGCATGTACGTGAAAATGCCGTGCTTCATTGGTTTGTACATGAAATACAATAATGTCTAAGAAGCCAGTAGTACACTGAATGACCGGTAGGGGTCAGTGTGTAGGTGAAAATGCAGTGGTTTATCAGTTTGTACATGAAATGCAATAATGTCTGAGAAGCCTGTAGTACACCGAAAGACGGGTAGAGGTCAGTGTGTAGGCGAAAATGCATTGGTTCTTTGGTTTGTACATGAAATGCAATAATGTCTGAGAAGCCTGTAGTACACCGAATGACCGGTAGGGGTCAGTGTGTAGGCGCAAATGCAGTGGTTCGTTGGTTTGTACATGAAAATGCAATAATGTTTGAGATGCCTGTAGTACACCGAATGACCGGTAGGTGTCAGTGTCTAGGTGAAAATGCAGTGGTTCGTTGGTTTGTACATGAAATGCAATAATATCTGAGAAGCCTGTAGTACACTGAATGACCAGTAGGGGTCAATGTGTAGGTGAAAATTCAGTGCTTTATTGGTTTGTACATGAAATGCAAAAGCGACTAAGAATCCTGTAGTACACCGAACGACGGGTAGAGGTCAGTGTGTAGGCGAAAATGCATTGGTTCTTTGGTTTGTACATGAATTGCAATAATGTCTGAGAAGCCTGTAGTACACCGAATGACCGGTAGGGGTCAGTGTGTGGGTGAAAAATGCAGTGGTTCGTTGGTTTGTACATGAAATGCAATAATGTCTGAGAAGCCTGTAGTACACCGAATGACCGGTAGGGGTCAGTGTGTAGGCGCAAATGCAGTGGTTCGTTGATTTGTACATGAAATGTGATAATGTCTAAGAAGCCTGTAGTACACCGAATGTCTGGTAGGGGTCAGTGTGTAGGCACAAATGCAGTGGTTCGTTGATTTGTACAGGAAATTATTATTATTGTTATTATTATTATTATATTTATAGAGCGCCATCAAATTCCGCAGCGCTTTACAATGCGTAGACGAACAGACATGTAGTTGTAACCAGACAAGTTGGACACACAGGAACAGAGGGGTTGAGGGCCCTGCTCTATGAGCTTACATGCTAGAGGGAGTGGGGTAAAATGACACAAAAAGGTAAGGATAGTATTAGACTAATGACAGTTGCAGAAGAGGAAACAGTCAGGAGCTATTAACAGTTTAATGGATACGCTTTTATGAAGAAGTGTGTTTTTAATGATTTTTTGAATGAGTGGGGAATGGGTGAGCATCTAACAGAGGAGGGAAGCGAGTTCCACAGGAACGGTGCAGCCCTCGAGAAATCTTGAAGGTGAGCATCAGAGGTGGGAGTACGGACAGAAGATAGACGTAAGTCTTCAGCAGATCGTAAGGGCCTAGACGGGACATACTTGTGTATAAGGGAGGATAGATAGGTAGGAGCAGCATTATGTAGAGATTTGAAAGCAAGAACCAGAATTTTAAATTGAGCTCTATATTTTATAGGAAGCTAATGTAGGGATTGACAGAAGGGTGAGGCATGGGAGGTGCGGGCGGACAGGAAGATGAGCCTGCCGCCGCATTCATTATGGACTGTAACGGCGCTAGTTGGGAGCACGTAAGACCACTGAGAAGCGGATTACAGTAGTCAAGGCGAGAAAGGACAGTGGAATGGACCAACACCTTAGTCGCATCTGGCGTTAAGTAGGGGCGGATGCGCGCAATGTTTTTGAGATGGAAATGACAGGATTTGGCGATAGATTGAACATGAGGCTTGAAGGAGAGGTCGGAGTAAAAGAGAACACCTAGGCAGCGAGCCTGCATGGTGGAGCTGATGGTAGCACCGTTGACTTGGAGGGAGACAGACACAGGAGTAACAACACTTGAGGGA